TGCAAAGCACCTACTAAGTACCATGCACCTAATTTTTATAAAATCCCTGGGTGGTGGAATTGGCAGTCTCATTTTTGGATGAAGAAACTGAGGTCAGAGGTCAAGGGAGTTGCCAGGGTCGCAAAGCTAGTGAGTGGTACGAATGGAATGCACGAAAATGTGCCCCGACTCCCAGTTCTAGGCCTTTCCATGGCACCATGCTGCCTCCCTCAGTGGGTGGGGGGAGGAAAAGGGGTGGGAACAGCAGGAGAAAGCACCGCCTCTCTAAGGGGGTGGGAAGGGAGAGACGTTTCTGGATTTGTGAGGACACCTATTGGCTTTCTCCTTGGACCCTTTCCCTCCTGCTGCAAAATAAGGACAAGACACTCAACTCTCACAGGGGAATGAGCGTTGGGGCAGCCGCCAGCTCCAGTGCCCTGCAGAAGGGGCTGAGCTGGGCTAAAAGCCCTGCCGAGGTGGCAGGGGAGAGACTTTGAAGATGGCAGTCGGGAGAAGGGTGGGAGCGGGAGGACTGTGGAGAGAAGAGAGACCCTTGTTCTCAGGTGCTCCAGGAGGGAGAACAGGACCGTGGGGTGCAGTGACAGGGAGGCAGAGTCACCGGCAGTGTAGCCCCGCTTTCCAGCAATCAGAGCTGCCTGTAGACAGGCTTCCTGGAGGCGGGAGCTCCTGCGGCAGGTGTGGACGCCAAATTGCACGGCCTCCTGCCGGGATTGCCAAAGAGTGACCCTCCAGAGGGACAGGCTTCCAACATTCTGAGTACAAAGACACTTTCTCAACATTTTATGAAACCATTTTATACAAAGCCCCACCTGATCATGATTAGACTTGTAGCATCTATAATTGAGAAAATGTGCAAGAATAAAAAGCCACTAAAATTTCACGTTGCCTTTCCAAGGGTATATTTTATTGAACATGACAGCATCTGCAGATGTGTTTAAAATGGTCATAAGCACAGGGCAAGGCTTGGACTGGGGCCAATCCTCAGTCAGGCCAAGAATCGAGGGGCAGAGGGCCTGGAGGTAAACACATCCCCCACCGGACCAGCAGCCGGGCGGCTCGGGGCTGCAGCTCTGCTGAGTCCTGGAGCAGATCCAGAGTGGCTTCAGTTCCTGTCCCGGCGCCGGAGGACCCCTCCTGCAGCAGTCTGCCCCAGGAGAAGGGCTCTTCCTGCAGGAAGTTCAAGGCTCCCAGACAGCCCCCAACAAAGCAGGTCCCTGCAGATAACCCCTCTCAGCCTGCCCACCTGCAAAGGGAGCCCACAGCCACTGGACTGGCCGGCCTCCCTCACCATCACCCTGACCTGCCGAGGGATGTGATGGAAGCAACTGTTTTACACTGAGGCCTTGTCACATGCCAGGTACCTTGTCAAGCCCTTTGCATGCAGTGGCTCATTTATACCTCCATTAAGTGGGTAGAATTATTTTTATTTTTAAATTTTTTTAAGAGGGAGTCTTGCTCTGTCACCCAGGATAGTGGGCAATGGCGTCATCTTGGCTCACTGCAATCTCTGCCTCCCGGGTTCAAGTGATTCTCCTGCCTCAGCCTCCCGAGTAGCTGGGATTACAGGTGCCCACCACCAAGCCCAGCTAATTTTTGTTTTTAGTAGAGACAGGGTGTCACCAGTTTGGCCAGGCTGGTCTCAAACTCCTGACCTCAGGTGATCCACCTGCCTCAGCCTCCCAAAGTGCTGGGATTACAGGTGTGAGCCACTGTGCAAGGCTGTGGGTAGAATTATTTACCTCATTTTACTGATGTGGAAACTGAGGCACAAAGAGGTTAAGTTACCTGCCCAAGGGAATATAATAAATACCGAAGCTCAGGTGTTTGTTCAGACACAGGTAACTTTCGAGCCTGTGCTGTTCATCTCTATGAAGGAATAAACTAAGGGCTTTAGCAGCTGCAAACGTTGAAAAGCATAAAACTCCCCAACCCAACGGAGATTTCCTGTGGCTGCAGTGATGAAGAACCACAAACTGAATGGCTTAGAACAGCAGAAACATGTCCCCTCACACACTGGAGGCTAGAAATCTGGCATACGAATGTCAACAGGGCTGTGAGCCTGCTGAAGGCTCCCAGGGAGAACCCTTCCCGACTCTTGTAACTTCCGGTGTCGTCAGCAGCCGCTGGCGTTCCCTGGCCGGCAGGTGCCTGGCTCCCGGCTCTGCCTCCCTGTGTGGCTCTCCCAGTGCGTGGTGTCTCTACCTCTTCTCCTCTTCATAGGTCACCAGTCTTTTTTGGAGTTAAGGCCTGCCCTGCTCCAGTGTAACTCTGTCTTTGCTAATTACATCTGCAATGATCCTATTTCCAAATAAGGTCACACGCTGAGGTTCTGGGAAGAACGTGAATTTTGGGGGACACTATGCAACTCAATGCACCCAATAACATCATTCAAGATAAAAACAGTCAACTTTATAAGAAGTGTAAGAAAAGTCCAGAAGACTTCTGATGTTTTTCGTATGATGACTTAGATTTTTAAAAACAATTTTGGACAGGTACAGTGGCTCATACCTGCAATTCCAGCATTTTGGGAGGCTGAGGCTAGAGGATCACTTGAGGCCAGGAGTTCAAGAACAGCTGGAGCAACATGGTGAAACCCTGCCTCTACTAAAAACACAAAAAATAGCCAGGGATGTTGGTGTGCACCTGCAGTCCCAGCTACTCAGGAGGCTGAGACAGGACAATCCCTTGAACCCAGGAGGTGGAGGGTGCAGTGAGCCGGGATCTCACCACTGCTCCAGCCTGGGCAACAGAACTCCATCTCAAAAAAAAAACACAAACAAACCATTTTTATCAGAAAAAAAAAACGTTTTCAGTGTCGTCACCAGCCATGCTGGTGCCCTAAGTGCACGCTCACTCAGCCTCCTGGACGCCGTCACAGAGGACTGAGGATGCTCCAGGAATGTGCGTCCTCTCGGTGAGCAGCCCCAGGCTGGTGGCGGTGAAGCAGTTTCCACAGCCCCTTTTCCTGGGATCCCACTCATCCTGGAACCAACCTGCCTCACTGGGGATTGCTGTCCCAGCTTTCTTCCTGTTCACATGTTGCCAGCAGAGCTGCCGGCTCTCTCAGACCCCCACCTGCGGCTGCAGGTGATGTGCCAGGCACAGACCCCTGGCCCCAGCTGGACATCTAGAACTTAGGACCAAGACCATTCAGCCCAGTCTTAACTAATAACTTTTCTTTTTTTTTTTTTGAGATGGAGTCTCACTCTTGTCACCAAGGCTGGAGTGCACTGGTGAGATCTCGGCTTACTGCAACGTCTGCATCCTGGGTTGTAGCTATTCCCCTGCCTCAACCTCCAAAATATCTGGGACTACAGGCACCTGCCATCATGCCCAGCTAATTTTTCATATTTTAGTAGCGATGGGGCTTCACCATGTTGGCCAGGCTGGTCTTGAACTCCTGAAGTCAGGTGATCCACCTGCCTCAGCCTCCCAAAGGGCTGAGACTACGAGAAGCTGAATTTTGGGAGAGGTTGTGACTACATGTCATGCCACGTGGACGGAGAAGGAGGAAAATCCCATCTTCAGGAAAAGAAGAATGCAGATTCACAAAGATGAGCCAGGACAAGACACAGGTGGAGGCGAACCACGAGTTCCCATCATCCTGAAAGCCAGCTCAGTTCTTACCCTCAGATTCTGGGAGATACTCCCAAATCCTTACAAGAACTCCTCTTTGCAGCTTGAAGATGGATTTCTGGAATCTGTAACTAAAATAGTCCCAATACCTCACCCTACCCAGAAACCAGGCACAGGTGCAAGCCAGAGGCACAGCTAAGTGCCTCCTCCAAGCGGCGTTTCCAGTGACTTCATGCTGGTTCCTGAGATGGCCCCAAGTGAAGTGCAGCAAAGGAAACCTCAGGACAAGACACGTCCCGATCCATAGCTGCAGCCTGAGGTCCTCCTTCTGGTGAAGCACGTGAGGCAGGTGCTACTCTTCTCTTTCCTGTATGAATGAGAAGGGCTCAAAGAGGTTAAGTAACGTGACTGAGGTAACACCAAGGTGAGTCCATTTGCCTGAGTCCATTTGCATTGCTATATAGGGTATACCTGAGACTGGGTAACTTATGAAGAAAAGGGATTTGGTCCTGCAGACTGTACAACAAGCATGGTGCCAGCACCTGTCTCTGGGGAGGGCTTCAGGCTGCTTCCACTCATGGCAGAAGGCAAAGGGAAGCTGGTGTGTGTAAGGATCACACGGGGAGAGGGAAAACCAGAGAGAGGAGGGGGAGGTGCCAGGCTCTTCAAACAACCAGCCCTTGAGAGAACAAACAGAGTGAGAACCTACTCATTAGAACAAGGACAAGGACAGTACCAAGCTCTTCATGAGGGATCTGTCCCCATGACCCAAACACTTCCCATAAGCCTCCACCTCCAACACTGGGGGTCAAATTTCAACTGAGGTTTCAGGAGACAAACATCCAAACCACAGTAGCATTACAGGCAGAATTCCAGGTGTGGCTGACCCCAGCAGGTATATCTGCTGTCGTTCACGCCTGTTACACCCATGAGTCGTCATTCATGCCACCTACTATCAGTGGACAATGACCTCGTGGCATATGTACCCCCAGTGCTCTATCTGGCCACTGGAGAGACAGGTGAGCTTGAAAAGGGGCCACTATGGCCACATATCAGGAAATGTGGGATCACAGATGGAATTGCAAGATACAATTCTTTGGCATAGAAAGGGCCAGGCAATTATGGCACAGTGCATTGATAATTAATTAGTGCTTAATCAGGAGCTCTACATAGCAGTTCATTACCCAAGGACACTCCTCATTACAACTGTAGCAGATGGCTCTGGGCAGGCAGCCCTGCCAGCCTCTTTGAGGTTCACCAGTGACTTTGAGGCTCCCCTTCCAGGGCTGAGGTCACTAACCTCCCCTAGACCTGGTGATCAGTAGCTGGTGAAGAGATACCCAAGAGCAGGGGTGATCAGACTCACCCTGGAGAAATTTAAGACATGCTGGGAAGGCAGAGCCCCTGCTTAAAAGTAACTCCTCAGCTTTCTGCAGTGGCGGCGCCATAGCCAGTGAGGTTTGTCTGAGGTATGATCGTTGCTAATTGAAAACTTTTCCCTATAGCTTGCCATGACAACTTGAAATACAGTTGGTATTGAGAATTTTTGAGATTCTCTACAGAGGCTGAACAACCAAAAAAACCCACAAAAATATAACTCTTCCTCAGCTTCACTTTGGCACAATGCCAGAGAGACCACTATTAAGTTCTGCACATTTGTGCAGCCCCCAACTCCCCTAACTTCAAATATAAATGCCCATCAGGGAGCTAAAACCTTCTGCGTTCATTGGTTGTGGGAGTCCCACAGTGTTGGGGGTGCAGGGGCAGAAACCACATGTGAGTCATTGTTGTATTTGCCATGCTATGTGATAGGTGGGTGGGTGGATGGATGGATGGATGGGAGGATGGATGAGTGGATGGATGTGTGGGTGGGTGGATGCATGGATGAGTGGATAAATGGGTGGGTGGGTGGATGCATGGATGAGTGGATGGATGGGTGGATAAATGGGTGGGTGGGTGGATGCATGGATGATGGATAGATGGGTGGGTGGGTGGGTGGGTGGATGGATAGATGGATGGGTGGTTGGGTGAGTGGATGGATGGATAGACAGGTGGATGGATGAGTAGATGGATGAATTGGTGGGTAGACGGATGGATGGATGAGTGGATGAGTGGATGGATGGGCGGGTGGATGTATGTATGTATGAATGGATGGATGGGTGGATGAGTGGATGGATGGGTGGTTGAGAGGATGGGTGGGTGAGTGGATGGATGGGTGGGTGAGTGGATGGATGGGTGGGTGAGTGGATGGGTGGGTGGGTGGATGGATGGATGGATGGAGGTTGGAAGGTGAGTGGATGGGTAGATATATGGATGGATGGGTGGATGGGCGGATGGGTGGATGGATGGATGGATGGATGGGTGGGTGGAGAGACAGGAGTGAAAAACACACAACAGAGGGAGAGGAAAATCATAGTCTATCCTTGCTTGTTTCCAGCAAAGAAGAACGTAGTTGCCGTCTGCCACATTTGTGCCCTAGCAGCAAGTCCCAGGGACCTTCTCAATGGTGCCAATGACCTCTCCAGGAAAATAGTGCAGGCCTGGCTGGCATCCAGAAGGAACGCCAGGCGGCCTCTGCTTCTGGGACCCACACCCTCACCTAGAGAAAGACCCCAGACAGAGTCCTAATGGCCTACAAATAGCAGAGTCCCTGGCTCTGAACACAGGGAAGGTAGAGGGAAGGGGAAGCAGGACTTGGGCCTCCAAGTCACTCCCTGTCACAGCGCTGGAGGGAAGGCAGGCACCACACCTCTAGGAGGAAGGCCTATGTGAGAGGGCTGAGCCCTTCGGGGGCTCAGAGAATCAAAGACGCTGATGTCCTAAGAGAATTAGAAACCGGAAACAGCCTGTAATCCCAGCACTTTGGGAGACCCAGGCGGGCAGATCACGACACAGTGAAACTCCGTCTCCAAAAAAAAAAGAAAGAAACCGGAAACAGGATGAGCTGGGTCTGGGGAAGCAACGCGTGGGACCCACTCCCTGGAAAGGGCTTTGTGGATAGGAACCCAGCACACACCTCCCTGTTAACAGCAGGCCCGAGGCATGAGAACAGGAGGGGCCTCTGTTCTCAGAGTCGCAGCCGTCAGGGAGGGACAGCAAGAGCCAGCTGCCAGGAGCATGAATCTTTCCAACGCAATCGGTCTAGGATGGGAAAAGAAAGACCAGTTTCCTGTCTTGCCAGACTGCCTGGGGATGGGCTGAGCATGCGGCCTCTCTCACTCACCACCTGCTGGCCTTGGCCAAGCACCTTGTTGTCTCTGAGTCTTAGTTCCCTTATTTATAAAACGATAGAAGTCCTGATCTCACAAGGCTGATGTGAGAAATAGAAATAGCGATGGTGTGTGACAGGCCCACCACCCTTCCAGTCCCTCTCCTTCGCCAGCAAGCCGGTGGCCTGTGTTCTTCAGGTTTTCAGGCAGCCACGTGCTTCAGGAGAAGGAGAACTCCCTTGGAGCCTAGCAGAGTGTCTTGATTGTTCTAAGCCAGTCACGGTGACCCAGTGATTAATTTATGAACAAGCGTATAATTTCATTCTAACACTAGGGGAAGTCTCTGGGTGAATTTGGGGCAAGTCCCCCTTACTCTTACAAGAAAAAGCCATAAAGAAGGGGTTTTCTCTCTTTCTGACCTTTGGGTGTGGTTGGGTGAGAATGTGACACTTAGAACAGCTGCAGCTGTATTGTGACATAAAGGATTACACCCAACTTAAAAGCCAAGACGCTAACAATGGCAGAATGTAAAGACGAAAAGAAGCCAAGTCCTTGGTGACTGCCTCGAGCTGTTGCATTCATTTCCCTTGGATGTCCCCACCTTGAGATATCTCATTAACCCAGAGAACACTGTCCCAAGGTCAGATGCCTGGGATAGCGGGGATCAGGGGCAAAGTCTGTGGAGCTAGACTGCCAAATCCACTCCCACTACCACCGAGGACTTTGGGCTTGTTTATTTTCCCTTTCTTCTCATTTTCCTCATCTGTGAAATGGGGATGGTGATAACAACCATATCTGGTTCATGAGATCATTGTGAGGATTAAAGGGGTTAATGTGTAGAAACTATTCAAATCGTGTCTGGCACATTGTAAGTGTCATGTGTCAGCTATGACTATTACAAGCCATTTTGGGCTTTCTCTGTTATTTATATCTCAAAGTATCCTCTTAAAGTCCGCAAGGAATAGGTGCTTGGTCAGTAGTTGCTGTGTGTTCACAGGTTTCTGGGCTGAATGACTGTGTGCACCTCTGTATGTGCACAGAGATGGTTCAAATGCCAATGTCCCAAGGAGCTTCCCGAGTGGACATCACTGGACTCCTGCTCCCCACCGCCAAGGGCAGGTGCTGCGGGACAGGAATAGGAGAAAGCAGGAGAAGGCATTCCAAAGTGCCTGGGGGGTACAGAGGGAGTGGGGGGCACTAGAGAGAGTGGGAGGTGCTGGGGGAGTAGGGGGCACTAGAGAAGGTGGGGGTACTAGAGGAAGTGGGGGGTTCTAGAGGGAGCGGGGCGCTAGGGGGAGCGATGCAGGGCACCCTCACCAGTGTGACTCAGAGGAAGAGCAGTTCACCGTCTGCATTCATCTGCTCAGGTCGCCGTAATACAATACCACAGGCTAGGAGCTTAGACAACAGAAATCTATTTCCCAACCACTCCTATTGGATTAGGTAACTGAGGTCACCCTTCTGCCCTCCGTTAACCTTTAGTTACTTCCATAAAGGCCCTGTCTCCAAACACAGTTACACTGGGGTAAGATCTTCAATGCATGCATTTGGGAGACACAGTTCAGTCCACACCACCATCACTCTGGATGAGCTCTGGAGGTGGACGTGGGAAGCAGACACCAAATAGGAAGCTGCTGTCTTAGCCCAGGTGTAGAAAGAAGGAGGGGGCTTCTGAAGGCGGAAGGCAGCAGTATACACAGAGAGGAGGGTGAGCATAAGAGCTGCCGAGAGGGAGGAATCTCCTCCCACAGTTAAACACAGTAACTGCTCTGTGACCTAGCAATTCCACTCCCAAGCATCTACCCAAAAGAATGAAAAGCAGGGACTCACACAGGTTCTTGTACACTCATGTTCATAGCAGCGTATTGACCATAACAAAATGGTGGAAACACCCCAAACATCCTTAAACAGATGAATGGATACACAAAACGTGGCATATTCACACACGGAATATTATCCAGCCATAAAAAGGCATGCAATTCTGACACATGCTAGAACGTGGATACGCCTTGAAAATGTAGGTACGGAAAGGGGTGATCCCCTTTCTCCCCATCATAAAGGGTCACAGCCAACACCCCGTGACAAAAAACAGGTTAAGAGAAAATCATAACAAAGGTATTATGCGCACACATGTGCAAAAGTGTTTACAAAACCACGAACTCGAAGAGGGACCAGATGGTTGAGGTTTAATGCCCTCTTCATAACAGAGAAGGGAGTGGGGGAATGACTAGGCCACATGCTCAGACAGTGGTTAGTAATTGATTCTCTTTCAGAGCTAGATGTGACAAGTTACAGGAAGGTGAGAGGAAGATGCACAGGAACACAGGTCTTATTATGCAGATAAACATACCCAGGTGATCTCCGGGGTGAGCTTCCTTCCTTGAAGGCAAGGACTCAGTGTTTTCCTTTTGAATCCTCAGAGCTGGATTCAGGTCCTGGCATGGGTGGACCTCTGCAATTGCTTGATGGATTCACATAATCCAACTAAATTCACACAAGGGCAGGCCCAGCAGACATTCCAATACAGAGCCAGTATGGAACGTGCTAGATGAGCATAAAGAAGGTAAAGAAAGTTTCTCCACAAAATATAGTGACATTGTAATTTCTTGGAAGGGTTGCCATTTGCCCCAGGCCTTGAAATATGACAGTCGGCCGGGCACAATGGCTCACGCCTGTAATCCCAGAACTTTGGGAAGCCGAGGTGGGCGGATTGCCTGAGGTCAGGAGTTTGAGACCAGTCTGGTCAACATGGTGAAACCCAGTCTCTATTAAAAATACAAAAAAATTAGCTGGGCATAGTGGCATACGCCTCTAATCTCAGCTACTCTGGAGCTGAGGCAGGGGAATTGCTTGAACCAGGGAGCTGGAGTGAGCCGAGATTGCGCCACTGCACTCCAGCCTGGGCAGAGCAAGACTCTGTCTCAGAACAAACCAACAAACAAAAACAGTGAAACATGGCAGTTACATGGGGTAAAATTACGATACAACACCCCTTATGTAAGGGTCAGGCTTGTTCCTCTAAACTACTTCTGCAGTTTTGTCCCTCAAGCTTGATGATAGGTATTTCTGAAATTGCAGAGAACTCCTGTTCAGTATTAGAGCAAATCCATCCCACGCTATGTCCTAGTGCACCCCAAAAACAAAGACCGCCTTGGTGGAGGGGAGGCCTAGCAAGAGGGAATGGAAAGGAACATGGGGCCCCCAAACAAGGCAGAGTGAGCTTCTGGAAATACGGACCTGCTCACATCACCCCTCTCTGCTCTCCCCTTGCCCGTGCCTGAGTCATAACACCTCGGCCTAGCATTTGGGGTTCTTCACCACCTGGCTTGTTTTGGCATCTCCATTCCAGCACCACC